CTTTTTTTTTTTTTCGAACCTTTTCTCATTTTTTTTTTTTTTTTTTTTTTTGTAAAATCGCGCTCTGTGATTGGCTACATCGATTCATCCGTTCATATAATACGTTTCGTTCGAAAAAATGATAAAATTCGTTGTTTTTTATTTCAAAAAATTTCGTTGATTTCAAGAAAAATTTTAATATTTTAAAAATCATCCGGTATTTGTGGCAAACAAAGATTATAAAATGAATTTTTATCCCAAAATGTTATCGGTTTCCAAGCACAGCCACCCTGCAAAAAAATCAAGGTAAAAATTTTCCCTCAAGAATTTCTCTTTTCTCTTACCTTTTTATGAATATTATTCAGATCTTCATCACCTAAATAATGTGGATCTAAAACTAAAAATCTAACATCACCTGTTGATTGATTAAAATCAACACCAATAATAGTATGTGCTAAAACACCACCACCAATCATTATTGGTGTACCATTTATGGAAAAATGTTTAATCAAATCTCTTGCTTTATCTAATAATTCATTCGATGAATTTATGAAAATAATTTTCGATTCAATCCCGTAAAGATGATTCAAAACATAGCATACTTCTTGTGAACCAATCCAACGTGATGATCCTAAAAATTCCACCGGTTTATCACCAACATCAATCAATGCTTGTTGAATTTGTTTGTGTGTTGGAACTTTATGATCATCAATATAACCTTGCCATTGAAACCATGAAATTATTGTTTGCAATGATCGATATGCACAACCCCAACCAGAATCATTAAAATTATCTTGATTATAATGATAATAGGAATATTTCCCCTGGACCAGAAAACATTGTCCATTTTTTATATCGGATTTCAAACCAACATGGACATTTGTCAGTCGTTTTCCAGATGATAAAGATAAGGAATCTTGTTGCCATTCCAAAGAATTGGCCAATTTAAAAGTAGGCCGGGACATTGGTACCCGAAATTTTAAATGTAATAATTTTCTTTGTTGTTTATATGATTCAGGTGAATCTAAATCACGATAAACCGTAGTAATAATATGCGTATAATTTGATGGTTCGAAAAAATTTAAAACTTTTGGCATTTTCATCGGGTATTCAAGTTTGTTGCTGAAATATTTCTCAAGAGATTTCAGCATTTTATTCGAAGAATTTACGAATATTTTATACAATTGTTGTAGATTATTTTGCATCGGCAAAAGATATGCAAATTTCATTTCGAAATCAAAATTATAATTTTGATTATTTTCCAATTTATCTGGTTGGTTATTGGATTTTTCATCACCTGAATTGCCAAGCAACTTGAATTGAACAGAACTTTTTTGATTACGTAATTGTCGTTGATATTTTTCAATCATTTTTTTCTTCATATTCCCTGGTATTTGTAAATCTTGTAATTCATCAAATTGTTCAATTTCATTGTAAAGATTTTCGATTTTATTCTGTGAAATTTCTTCCCGGTTATTCAGTTGAAATGATGATTTATCAAGTTGGAAAATCCAACTTTTCGATTGTTCAATAATCGATGGTAGATTCGTTGTAACAGCGGAATCTTCAAACGAAAGATTCAACGGGAAATTTACAATCAAATCGATACGGATTAATGGCTCCAGTGCTTGTTGATAATCAACAATTTCAATTTGATATTCGGTTAGTTTTTTTGATTTTATATCAAATTGTAAAATTTTTTCTTTTTCATCATTTTCCGAGAACTGATAAACCAAAAGTTTACCAGATTTTTTATCTTTGCTTAGTTCACTACAGAAATCGACGATTGAATCTTCATCGAATGATCCAAGAAAATAAGCACCCAATAAAGTATTTCCCGGTGGAATATCTTCAATGATTGAATTTTGTTCTTCATGGTTGTTGATACAACCGATACAATAACAGGAATTATTTTCCGAATTAAAACCAAATATGATTCCTTTTTCTCCACTTTTACATTGCTGTTGTAAACGTTGTTGTAAAGTTTGAACAAATTTATATATTTTACCACCGGACATTATTAACAATTTTAAAAAGATTTTAAAAAATAAAAATTTTTTAAAAATTTCAACAAGAAAAAATTTTACACGTGTCAAATTTCAAAATAAAAAAAAATCGAACGAAAATTTTTTCGGAACGTAGTTTATGAACGTTACTATTTTGGAAAACGTTTTCTGATTGGTCGATTTTCAAAATCGAACGATAATCACCTCCCCCTTGTGCGTTCGAAAGAAGATTTTATAAACGGTTTTTTCTTTCAAAAGCCTGACCATCATTTTCATTTTACTTCATTTCAATTCAATTCATCGGCCAACTTTGGACACGTTTTTTGTTTCTTCAAAACTTTTTTTTCATCAAAATTCACCAACGATTTAAGAAAAACAACAGCAATGAGTTTATCGGATCTAAATATTTATTCACCAAAATCTAAAGATATGAATGTTGATCGTTCGGCGGCCGTAAAACGTCTGCAAAAAGAATTAATGGAATTAATGGTTTGTGGTGATAAATCAATATCAGCATTTCCTGATGGTGAAAATCTTTTCAGGTTAGTTTTTTTTTATTTGTCCGCAACAATTTTAATTTTGATTTTAACACAGATGGATCGCAACAATCGATGGACCAAAAGATACTGTTTATGATAAATTATCCTATCGAATGGCAATAAAATTTTCAGCACATTATCCATTCAAAGCACCGCAAGTAAAATTTTTAAATCATTGTTTTCATCCAAACATTAGTCCATTGGGTGATATTTGTTTGGATATTTTGAAAGAAAATTGGTCAGCATTATATGATGTTCGTACAATATTATTATCAATACAATCATTATTGGGTGAACCAAATCTAGATTCACCATTAGATCAACAAGCAGCAAAATTATGGGGACAAGATGATGATTATCGTAAAATTGTTATGGAAAAAGTTAAACAACAAATTCATGATTAAATAATCGAATCATCGAATAAGTAGGAATTTTTAATTATCAATATTTATAATAATTTTCTCATTTTTTAAAATCAATTAATTCACAATTTATAATTAATAATTAATAATAATAATAATTTTTGATAATAAAATAAAATAATTGCTAAAAATGTCATCGAATATCTTCTTTTTTTTGTGTTTGTTGGCGAAAATGAATATAGGGTGCATTGAAAAAACAATATCAATATTTGACAACAACAACAACATTTTTGGTGATTTGAAACAAAATTTGAATTTGACCAAACGATGATGATGATGATGACCAATTGAGAATGTATTGGAAAATCGGTTTGTTTTGTTTTGGAAATGATCAAGAAAGAGAGAGAATTTGATGAGTTTTTTTTTGATCGAAAGTTTTCTTGCTTGCTTAATTGGAATCGAATGTTTTCTATTTATATGTGTGGTTTGTTTATCTTGATGAGGATATGATCAACAACAAAACGGGAAAAATTTTTTTTTTTTGATCACCATTATTATCATCACAGCCAAATGAAAAAACAAAGATTTTTTCTTTTGAAAAAAAAATCAAACGTTATCTGTTTTTGGCCGCAAAAAACAACAAAATGTCGTTGCATGATAATGATGAATGGTGGTAATGTTGAAATCTGATTTATTGATGATGATGATTTGGTGATTTCAATGTTATGTTAATGATGATGGATTATTGGAATTTGCTGTAAGCTGATCACTAACTTTTTTTGCTGTAAATATTACACCACGAAAACCTTTTACTGAAGTCTAATTTAGTGGAAGAAAACAAAAGGGTTAAAAAAATTCAAATTTTAAGGTGAAAATTGTTACCTTTTTCTTTGTACCATTCAGATATTCTTTATACATATCTGAACGTAAATAACGTGGATATGAATCATTTTTCATTAATTGATAAACATGACCAGCTGCTTCATCAAATATCCAACGATTATTCGGATTATTTTCCATATTTTTCTTTGTTATTTCATAGGATTTTGAATCAATATTTATTGGACAATTTGCATCTAATATAAAGAGGTGGAAAAAAAACAATCATTAATTTGACAAAGATTAATTTCAATTTACCTGGTCCTAAATATTCGTTCCAGATTTCTTGTACTTTACTGGCAACATCTTTTGTATGGACACATTTTAATTCTTGGACTGCATCCCAGAATCTAAACGAGGAAAAACAGTCATTATAGATTGATTGGACAGGAAGGAAAAAAAGAAACTTACTTAAGATTTTCGGCTGAAAATTCTTTTTCTAAAAATTTAAAAAATTGTTCTCTACCGGCTTGATCTTTTAATAATTCTTTCAATGAAAATGCCCAACGTCTTACACGACGACAAGGAACATCTTTCCTGTTTTGAATTAAAAAACATTTTAAAAATTAAAAAAAATCCATTAAAAAACAACTAACGTTTGTCTTTCCATTTCCCAGAATTCGGGTGAATCATTAATCCATGGATTTGGTGGAGTCTATTGGAAAAACGAAATGAAATGAAAAAATTTACATCAAAAAACATGATATCCTTTTACCCCTTTACTAGGTTCCAAAGGCGTTACAAATGGATCATATTCAGCCCATTGTTCATAAAATGTTGAATAAGATTCAGCAATTTTACTAATCTTAACACCACCAATCCGATGATCCAATCGAATACGTAGTGAATCACATTCACGTTTAAGGATTTCAATTTTTTCACCTTCATTCACCGGACTGATGCGGCCACCACCAACCGAACATGCTAGATGCTAAATGAACGAAACGAAATTTTCAGAAAATTTTCTTTCCAAAAAATTCCTTCAAAGGCTTACCGTCGATATTTTAACTTTTGAACTTTTCAATGGTTTATGCATACGACATGCTTTTTTAATATCGATCTCAGTCGTATTGACACTTCCAGGCTAGATCGAAAAGACGAAAAAGAAAATTTAGCTTTTTTTGATGAAAAATGAACAGAATTTCAATTCATACAACCGGCCTGTGAACGTCCCAAAATGCACGTTCCTGAGAATCGAGTACTTTTCTTTCCAATTTATCACGTTTCTTATCGACTCTGTGTGCGGAGAGAAACGAGAAAGAATTTTCAAAATTTAGAAAGTTTGGAAACCAAACGAAAGTCTTACTTTGCTTGAGCTTCAGCTTGCATAAAAATAAATTCCCATTTTCGGCTAAACATTTTCTGTAAACGAGCCAAATTTTCTGCTTCATAATCCGCTAATTCAAGACGTGTTTTATTTTGCATTGTTCGTTTACAAAGATAAACAGCATAATCAGTGTTTTCCGGTTCCCAACAATTTGAAGGCCAAAAATATGGTGTTTGAAAACGATAAAATGTATTATCAGCTTTAACACTGGGAAAATTGCCGAAAAATATCGTTAAAAATTTGGCCATCATCATCATCAATAATATCATCAATAATATTTACCATAAAACATGATCATCGATTGGAAAAAAATAACCATGTGATGCCATTAGATTGGCCAAATGTAATGCTTCTTGTTGATCATCTAATTCTAATTCACGCATCATCCATGCAATTAGATCGGATCCTGCAAAAAAAAAACAATTTTCAATTTATTTTTTTTCCCAAAAAATAACCATGTCATTTTTTTCCAAAAACAAACCATTAAAAACACTTGGTATTTTTGACATAAAACTTTTTACAGTTCGTACTGGTACACCAGTTTGTTCATCTTGCATTTTTTCAATAATTTGTTCCATCTGAAAATTGAAAAAAAACAAAATAATCATCTTTGGAGAATCGAATCATCGAATCGATAACATTACCTTATTATAAACAATTTGATTTGGATTCCAATTTTCACAATGATTAATGGAATCATTTTGTTGTGTTGAATTATTACCATCACCATTATTATTATTATTATTCTGATTATTATTATTATTACCACCACTGCCACCACCACCACCACCTGAAGCAGCAGAAGCGGAATTTGAGGCTTCCGATAATGCCTTAAGATGTCGACGAGTATAACTATATGCCATGCACTGTGTGGTTAACAATGACAATATGAATGAATCAATGAAAATCAATGTCGATGTTGATGATGATAATGGTGATGTTTATATTGATGAAATTATGATGATAATGTTGATGATGATGATGATGATGAAATCACAAAATTCATTTAATCATTCGATGTTTTCAACAAGAAAAAAATTTCATAGATGATATGGCCGGAAGATTTGTTTGGCAAAAAAAAAGAAGAACAACAAAAAAAACAATCGATTAATCGATTCGAACGTTTTTTTTGTGTCTAAGATTAAAAGATTGTAACTAAAAAAAAAAATTGTAAAAACAGGAATGAAAAATTACAACGATAATAACAACAACAATAACAAGAATTTTGTTTTGCTTGTTTTTTCTGAGGCAGCCAAAAAAAACAAAAACACGATTAAAATCCGAATAATCAGAATCAGAATCCTTGACTCTTGAACTCGAATCGAATGCTGATTGAAATTGGAATGAATCAAAAGAGAGAGAGAGAGACAAACAAAACAAAACAAATACAGCAAAGAAAGAATATCAACGAAATGGGTAACGAGACGAAAAGAACGATGATGATGATGATTATGATCAAAGAAAAAGAATAAAAAGAATTTCCGAGCAAACGCATTACCGGTATGTGAATTTTCCTCTTCTCTTGTGGTTGCTGGAACATCTTCCGAAAAGAAAAAGAATATTCTATATACACAGTGTGTGTGTGGATCCAACCAAGCTCTATATATAGTGGCGAGCGGAAAGTCAAAAATTTACCAAGTGTGTTTTTTTGTTTTCCCGAAATAAATTATTTAAAATCGGAAAAAACAAGAAAAAATATTTTATTTTTGAAAGGCAAAATTGATATGAAAGAAAAAAAATTCTTCTAATTATTTAACACTTATGAACCATTATTCATTATTGATTCAAATAAAAACATTTTTATCACGCCATTTGTTGACTAGATCCGGATTTAATGTTGCAAATATACCATCTTTAATGAAAACATCCGATTGAAAACTGTAATCAATTTTTTCGCCTTTTAATGTGGTCATTGTTCCGCCAACCGAATCACTCAAACCACGACGACGATGACCATATTTGATTAAAACATTCGGTGCACAAATATCCCATTTTTTTATATAAGTTTTATGTAGATAAATATCAGCATGACCTTTTAATAATTCAATGGTTTTATAACCGGAACCAGCTGCTTCGATAAATGTCAAATTTGTTCTGGTTGGATTTTCTTCTTTTTGCTGTTGTTGTTTTGCTAGAATCCATTTTTCAACATCACCTTTATGTGAACGGGATATTATGATTCGAATGTTATCATTCGAATTCGAACGATTCGAATCCTGATGATGACCATCGTCGTTAAAATGGGAAAATTTTTCACTTAACAATCGTTTATCGATACCAAATTTAGTTGCCCAATAAGTGGATTGATCATAATCATTTTCAAATGGAAAATGTATAACACCAATAATTGGTTCATTATTACGTGCAACACAAACCATTGTCGTAACGAATTTGGTTAAATTTTCACTATATTCTTTTGTTGCATCTAATGGATCAATCCATATGGTAAGATCATCAATATTCAAATCAATATCATCCGGTATGGTTGAATATTCTGGATTCTTTAAGAATTTTTCAACATTTAATAATTCAATTAACATATCATCCGTATCCGCATCATCATTTGCTGGTAAATTTTCTTCCGATACAATTTTTATACCCGGGATTGTGTATAACAATGAATTAACCATAACAATATTTGAACGTTTATCACCATTCGTAAGAATATCATCAATACCTTCACGTGTTTTACCTTTTAAATGTATACCCAGTTTGGAATTATCATTTTTGGTGGTTGATTCTCTGGCTTTTCTAACTTCGTAACCACCTTGTTTGGCTGCAAGTACACAGGCTACAGTGATGAATGGAAATTAATGAATTTTATCGAAAAGTTGACAAAAATTCAACACTTACCAATGAGCAAATGTTTAAAATTTATCAATGATAATTGATTTTTTGAATAATATTGTTGTCTAAGTTGATGAATACCAATAATATTATCAATTTGTAAAATATAATGCCAATAATAATAAATAAGAAAAAATATTATAAATAAATAGGCTAGGGTACGTAAACGAAAATGTATCATATAAGGCCACATTTCATCGTTTGGGGAAGAGAAAATTTCATTCAAAAAATTGAAAGAAAAAAAAATTAACTGGCCATGATGTTTATGTTTTCACGAAAAGTGAATTTCGAATGCAAAACAAACAAACAGGCAAACAAATGTCATAGGTTTTGACGGAAAGATGGCGTCATGTTTTTCATTCATCATTTGACTGTCGACTATGATGAATGATGATTTTGTTTGCTGAAGAAGAGATGTTTTGTAGTTTTTGTGGCGTATTTTTTTTTTGATGGCGCCCAGTTACACACCCGTGTATTGTATGTCTGAGTTAAACGAAAAAACTTGACAATCAAAAAATTGTTCGAAGAACGCTTGCGTCGTAACCCAATCTGTAAATATTTTTGTTTTATACGTTGGTTTGTTGGAACGGTAAGGTCGGCAGCTTAAAAAAAACGTAACGTAACTGTGAAAAATCTTATTAATAATCAGGATTGGTCACAATGAAATGTGTGTGTGTAGGCGAAATCCAATTGTTAAACGTAAATATGACTGGACATTTACGTTTTTTTTTTCTTCTGTCAGTCGCCTTGATATCAATACGTAACACACAAAGAGCAAAGTTTGAGGGAATTGAGACTACCGCCATTGATCATTGGTTGTGAAGGTAATTCATTCCGTAAATGTATCATCATGACCATAACACTATGTTATTGTTGATGATGATTAACCATGATGGCTATTTGGTTTCAACAAACAAACAAAAATTTTTGTTTCTAAATATGCATAACATTGGCATTTTAAGAATCAGAAGAAAAAAAATTTCGAAAGAGAGAGAGAGATACAAGGGGAAAACAAACAAACTAAAAATACAAAGTTGTGGTCACAACTATTGCTGCTGATTGTGTTGGGTGGAGGCGTCAAACGAAAACAAAAAAACACTGTTGCGTGTTGTCGAATGTGTGTGTGTCATGGCGCCATACGCCATACGCATTACGTATAGCCTTCAAAAAATGAAAAGAAAAAAAAAATTGAAAGTTTTTTTTTTGTATGCGTACAACAACACGCAGCAGTGTCGAAAGAACGAAGGGAAAAGAGCAAAGTGGACCAGTGGCGCCTTCTGGCCACAATTGTTATTCGTTTGGCCCATCCATTCCATTCCCTTTCATTCCATTCATCGTTAAATGGATGATAACTGCACACAACACACATAAAACCACCATTGTTGGTGTGTCGTTTTTCATCGTTTTTTTTCACTGAAAAAAAATGAGCGTACTTTTTCGTTTTCGTTTTCGTTAAGTTTTTGGTTTTTTTTTTCAATCAAAATCACTGTTCAATATCAATATCAATCAATAAATCAACAGTGAAAAAGAAATTTTCAAGTTGAGTTTTTGGTTTCATCAAATTTTGGTCAATTTTTTGTTGTTGTTGTTGCCGACTTTTTTGGGTTTGACCTACGAACTTTGATTAAAGATTCTTCTTCATCTTCGAATCGAATCATCTTTCATCATCATTTTCGAATGTTTTGTTTTTTTTGTTTTTGTTGATTCGAATGCAACAAAAAAAAAAAAAAAAAACAAACAAAAATTCGATTTGCACACGCTCACAATCAACACTCACCTTAAATTCGAATGTTTTTTTTTTNCGAATCATTTTTCATCATCATTTTCGAATTTTTTGTTTTTTTTGTTTTTGTTGATTCGAATGCAAAAAAAAAAAAAAAAAAACAAACAAACATTCGATTTGCACACGCTCACAATCAACACTCACCTTAAATTCGAATGTTTTTTTTTCTTCGCAAAATTCAAAGCCATTTTTTTCTGAAAATTTTTTGTTTTTCTGAAAATTTTTTGTTTGTATATCTCTTGTTGATTCTTTCTAATTTGATCTTTTCCATATTGCGGTTTTTTGTTTGTTTGTTTTTGTGAAACGGTATTTTTTGTTTTGTGAATGACGCAATTACCACCGCCACCGCTCTGTTCGTCATCATCATATTAAAAAGAAAAGGAATATTTTTTTTTTAAAGAAGAAATCGAATAAAAAAATGCTTGTTTTGTCATCGATTGAGTTACCGAATGTTGATGATGATCATGTTGAACACGTGAAACATCTTGAGCCACAAACATTGGCTTTTATAACAACAACAACAACAACAACCATTCAAAATCAAAATCAAAATAATCATCAATTACTTGGTGAAGGAACATTATTCATTGGTGAAGATAGGTATATGTTTCTTTTAAACTTTTTACTTTTTTTTCGAATGAAGCTTTTCCCCCTTAGTGATAAAGGTGTATATGATGATGATGGTGCCCGTGTTTTGCCTTTGCTTTTTTTGTTTGTTTGTATGGTTTTAGGTTGATGTCATTTCGATCTATTCGAATAACATCGACGCCGTTTTTTTTTAGGACGCGCGCATGTCCTTTACACTTTGTGCTGCTTTTTTTTCCCTGAAAAAAAAATTTGTTAAAAAGCTTTTTAGTTAATGTGAATCTTTTTGACTATATCCTATACATGTACGTTTTTTTTACTATTGCCTGTTTGTGGTGCCTTTTTTGTTTGTTTCCATCCAAGATGACCTCTTTACCACCACAAGATGTGTGTGTGTGTGTGTGTGTATGTATGTGTTGTGTAATTGCATTTTATCCTTTGTCTTTGCTGAATTTTTAGTTTGGCTTCTATCTAACTATCTATGTTGTGGTGCCCTTCTTCGTTTGCCCTCCTTTGTCCAAAAGGTCATCGAGAAAGAGCGAGAGAGAGAGAGAGGTGCATTTAGCGCAAGTAGAAGTTGCTCGTAATATCATCGAGGTTAAGTTGTTTTAGTTGTTTGTTTGTTGTATAACGTATCACAGTGTGTGATAACAGTTATTTTGCCAAATGTAACCTTTTCTTCAAAAAAAAAAAAAAATTCATTTCCACCTTGGCCTTTTCTCGTTTGAACTTTTTTTTTTTTGATATTTGGCTTGGCTTGGCTTTGCTCACTTGTTTCTTTTTTTCTTTTATTTATGAAAACTAACTGTAAATATTTCTATTTCGTTTTTTCCATAAACATTCTTTGATTTTGTTTATCTGATTTGCTGATCAAATTGAATTGATTTTTTTTATTGATTTTTTGGTTTCACCATTTAATTAATTGTAAATCGATATTTTGGTTTTTTTAATCTATTTATCTTCATATTTTAGGTTCACCTGGCGTACTGAAAACGGACAAGGTTTTAGTTTAGAATATCCACAAATTTCATTACATGCTACATCAAGAGATTTAAATAATTTTCATTCTGAATGTCTTTATTTGATGTTTGAAAATAATAATAATATTATTTCAGCACAACAACCATTATCATCATCATCAAATGATGGTAAGTTTTTTTTGATGATTTTTTGATGTTTTTTTTATTTGTCCTTTTTTCCCTTTATATATTCTTTATGAAACAAACATACAGACAAACACACCTTATCCTTTTTTTCCACTTTTTAGATTTTCCTCCCCTTTATTTTAACCCATTGATTTCTTTATATTAAACAAAGAAGCCAGAAAAAAAACCTTAACCTTTTTTTTCAAATGATGTGTGTGTGTGTGTGTGATGATTTTCAATCGATGTAATTCTTTGTGTTGTTTTTTTTCTTATTATCAAAAATTTCTAGTTGAAAAATACATCCACAACAACAACAACAACAAAATCAGCTTAACAGCTTTACAGAATACGACAGAATTATTATTATTTTGAAAATTTTTACTGTTTTTGTTTTTGTTTTTTTCATTTTTTTGACAATTCATACACTCCACACACACACACACACCTATATTTCTGTATATTTACATCATCAACAAACAACAATTTTATTATTATTTCATAGTTTTATATTCATCGTTATAGCCACACACATTTTATATGTTATTCTTCTTAATCTTTTATCATTGGTGATGATTGATTTTTTTTTGTTTTGACAAATAATAATCATTGAAAGGAAAAAGTTTTGTTTTTGCTTCTGTTTTGTTATTGATAATTTAATTTTTACAACAAAAAAAAAATTGTTAATTGTTTGTTATCCGATTGTTTGTTTGTTGTTTGTTTGTTTGTTTAATTGTTTTTCGATAAACCGGTCAAGAAACACGAAACATTTGAAAAATTGTTATCCAATTCAATTATAAATTGTTAAAATGATTATTACATAAAACACCTAACCTAACCTACCTTATTGATTATAAATTGAATAATCTACATTCGAATATAACATACCTCCTACTATCTTATATACGATATACGACATAACAAAACGAAACTCTCTTACATTAAATCCCGGTGAAATTCTACAAGTCATCATTATTAAATCAATCAAGTTCATTAACATTTGAAACAAGCAAAATCCTTATGACATTAACGTTACGTTATCTATCATTCATCATTATTATTATTACCTTTATCATCTGATTCATCGCATTGTATCGCATGCGTTGTGCATTCGCCGCAAAAAAAATTGTTGTTTTTTGTTTTTGTTTTTTTTTCGACTGTGATTGATATTATTATTATTATTATTATAAATATATTATGGCATCATCATCATCATCATCATCACAATATTCTGAAATGGTCAACAACAACAACAACAATAAATCAATGATTCTTAATGATAATAGTCGTTCAAATGATATGAATAATACCTATCAAAATATGAAATGTGAACCAGAAGATAGCCGTTCAAGTGGTGCTGAAAATAGTATCGGTGGTGATGATCCTGAAACAGAATTTATTAGTGTACCAACATCACCAAGTGCTGTTGTTGGTATGGGTATTGATTATAATTCACCATATAATTCTGGTTCAGAATATCAAATGATTGTACATAGTCCTAATGATAATGATGGTGGTGATGGTGGTGATAATAATAATAATGATAATTTAGATCTTGGTGGTGGTAGATCACCATCACCGTCATCATCATCACATCATAATAATAATTCTATTAATCTTAACACCACAACCATCAATAATAATAATAATAATAACCAAAATGCTAATCAATCAACAACAACATCATTATCATCATCATCAGCAACAATAACCGATCGAAAATCATTTGAATTTTGTGTTGTTTGTGGTGATAAAGCATCAGGTCGTCATTATGGTGCAATATCATGTGAAGGTTGTAAAGGTTTTTTTAAACGTAGTGTAAGAAAACAATTAAATTATGTTTGTCGTGCAAATCAAGAATGTGAAGTAACCAAACATCATCGTAATCGTTGTCAATATTGTCGTTTACAAAAATGTATACAAATGGGTATGCGTGCTGATCATTGTCAACCGGAACGTAAACCATTAGTTTTAGATAATAGTTCAACAACATCAACAACAGCAGTAACAAATTTTGCTACATCAACAACAATGACAAATACCGGTAGTAATAATAATTGTTCAATATTGATGCCATCACATCAACAACAACAACAAAATCGTTCGACAACTCATCATCATCAACATCAACAACAATCATCATCATCATCATCACATTCACATTCGCCTACACCAAGAAATGCTTCAGCTGCTGCTGCTGCGGCTGCTACTGCTGCAATGTTACGAAATTGTTCAACAACATCAACAAACGCAACAACAGCCGCAGCAGCGGCTGCAGCAGTTCAAGAAATGAATAATTTATTAGATAATAAAGCAGCATTATCGATAATTGAAGCAACCGCTTGTGTACAAAATCCAAATTCAACATTGAATTCACATAAAAATAATGGTGATCTTAATACATTGGCCAATGTTGTTTCTAATTTGATTGCCTTTAATAAACAAGTTAATCAATCCAGTCAACAACAGCCAATGATAGTCAATACTACGACGTCGGCAACAACGACAAATACATCCGACCAACATCATCATTCTCATCATCCGCATCATCAACATCATCCACATCATTTACAGTCAAATCCAACTATAGAAAGGTTATGGAAATCTGATATTGATGATGATTTAAATACTGAAGAATCACATTCGGAAAAAAGTATCTCTGCCAAAGATAATATTATTAGTAGTGATGTAAATTCTGAACAACGTTCTGGTCAACAACAACAACAACAACAAAATTTATTAATCACTAAAGCTGCATTTGATGCTATGGCTAAAATTGTTTCTGGAAGTAAAATTTCATCTGATCAAGAATCATTATTTTTATATGGTGCAATGGATGCATTTGGTTGTGTTAGTGGTGAACAAGAAAATTGTATCGATTTTGATGGTCCAATAATTGGTGAACAACATTTCCTATTCAATTTAGCACCACCAATGGCACCAAATTCATTTATGTCATTACAATATATTTGTGAATTTGCATCACGTTTATTATTCCTATCGGTACATTGGGCACAATCGATTGCAGCTTTTCAAAATATGACACATGATATACAAACATCATTAATACGTGGATGTTGGTGTCAATTATTTGTACTTGGTTTAGCACAAACATCACAAGTCATGTCATTAGCAACTATTTTATCAGCAATTATAACACATTTACAAACAACATTACAACAAGATACATTATCATTACAACGAATCAAACAGGTTACTGATCATATTTGTAAATTACAAGATTTTGTTAATACATTTCAAAAATTACAAGTTGATGAACGTGAATATGCTTATCTAAAATCAATAATATTATTTAGTCCGGAAAATGTTGTCGGTATTAGTAGCATAAGCCAAAGACAGATTGAACGTTTTCAAGAAATGTGTGCTATTGAGCTTCGTAATTATGTACAACAACAACAACAACAATCAAAAAAGATTGAAAATTTATCACCATCATTGTCAAGACAAACAACAACAACAACAACAACATTAGATCGTTATTCAAGATTAATATTACGTTTAATACCACTTCGTTCATTGATGCCTTCATTAACTGAAGATTTATTTTTTTCCGGTTTAATTGGTAATGTTCAAATTGATAGCATTATACCATATATATTGGATATGGATGCTAAAGAATTTACTAATCAATTTCAAAATATAACAACAACAACAACCTCAACATCAACATCGACGATAACACCATCAACAACATCAAGCGGTAGTAATCGATTAAAATCTTCAACAACATTATCTTCAAATACTACGAATACGAATAATTCACGTGCTGAATCGCCTTCAAAAGCCTAGCTTTGAAAAAAAATATTTTCATTTTGATTTTGTTTTCGAATAATTTCTTCTTCATTTTTTTTTCACCCGGTTCATATTCTTGTTTTTTTCCATTCTTATTCTTATTTTTTCTCCTGTTCTTTTTTTTCAATCATTTATCTAGATGTTTTTGATTTTTATGATGATTATTATTATTATTCAATTTTGTTATAAATATACAGATTTTCGTTTCTCTCTTCTTCATCTACATTTTTCTTGTTTTTCAATTTCGAAATGTTTATCAACTCTTTTCTGTGGCTCTGGTTTTTTTCATTCATTTCATTTCAGTCTTTTTTTTCAAGCCAATACCTGTTGACACACACACACACAACCCCTTTAAATTCTGTAAAATAATTTGACGAATCAAACCAAAATTGGCTGGGAGAAAAGAAACAGGTGAATTTTTAAACAACAAAATTGACACACACAAATTGAATTCCAAAATTTCAAATTTTTTTTTTGATCATTTTATATAACTTGTGCAAGCTATTTACAAACAAAAATATCAATGAAATTCTTGTTCCTCGATATTGTTTTCTTTCCCCCCCAAAAAAAACAAAACAAATTCATTTGATTCACCAACCAACCAAACAATAGTGACAATTTCATTCTGTTTTTTTCTTTTTTGTTATTTGTTTTCATTTTTTTTATTATTCAAAAATCAAAAAACATTCACCACATTGATAAATTTATATTTGATGATTAATGATGAAATTAATTAATTAATTGACTAAATAATAAAAAAATCAAATTATATTTGTGCAATATGAAATCAAAAAATCTGACTATATTTTTTCTTGTTTGTTCAAATTGCATGCAATTTTTTTTTTCTTCCTTTAGATATCTCATCTTATTTTTTGTTTTGTTTTTGTTTAATCAATGCTGAAATAAATGTTAATCTTTTTTTCTTTTTGGTTGATTCGAAACAGATCAAGATGAGAATAATGATGAGGATGAGGATGATGATGATGAAGGCAACAACAATAAAAATATTATCGAATTACGTTTGGTTCCAAAAGATTTATCCAAATTGGATTTAATGTATCAGGCTTTATCTGAATGTCAATTAATGCATCCAGATCCTGATGATGATTTAAATCCATTTGATGATAATGATGATGATGAAAATGGTGAATTTTTTGGCAATTTTGGTGACGATAATGATGGCGATGATAATGACGATGGTCAAGGTCAACAACAAGAACAAGAACAGGATGATGAACGAATGGATTATACGAATGGTCAATTTGATGATGCTCATTAAGTTGAAGAAATATCCAGGCATTTTTTTCATTTTAAAAATTTTTCTAAATTACACATCTTTTTGGTTTCATTGGATGTATCATTAATTTTACTGGTTTACTTATTTCAATAACTAAATTATCTTCTGATCTAGTACTTTTGATTCCACTACTTTTCGTTAATAATGAACTATAGATTTGTGTTGTTGATAATGATGATGATTGAATATCACGAAAATCTAATAATAAATTAATTTCGATTAATGATGGACCTGACCAAACACCATATGATGATAATGAAATTTTTGTCATCAATTTATAATCATTATTACTATCATCATCTTTATCACTATTATTATTATTATTAATATCATCTGAAGTTTTCAAACGAAATTCATTCAATTTTGGTTGAATCAATTGAATCTGTTGATCGGGATATTGAATCTAAAACAAATGAAATAAAAATTTTTACTTTCTTTTTTTAAACAAAACAAAAAATAATTTCTTACTTTGATTCGAATATTTTTAATATCTTTAACATGTTCTAGATTGGCGACGAATGGTACTTCCAAAACTAAACCGGCAGTAAATTTCAAAATTGTATCCATTTTTTCAATTGGTTCAACAATTTCACCTTTAGTCATGGATATTTTTTTAAAATCTTGTAATGCTTGTCGATCAAGAATATTACTAAGATCACATATTTTTGTTGTTGATGAATCAAGAAAAATTGGTTGTAAAATTCGACCAACAGTACCAGGCCGAGGTTGATTAAGTGAATCAATTGCCTTGAACATATCGTTAATAATTTCATCTAATTGAACACAATGTTCTTTTGATAACCGTTTCAATGTAGTCATTTCGGATAAAAATGCATCACATAAACCTAATGCCGAAACATTTGATCCATGAATAATTGCAATTAATTGTAATGCCATTGCTTTAATACGAGTTTGTTGTATAGCAATAATATGTTTTGGTTGTAAACCATGAAATAAATTTAACATTGAAAATGTTGAACTCAATAGCTGTTGTAATGATGAACGAAATACACTTGATTGTAATGCTGACATTAAAAATGTATTGATCCAATTGTTATTCGATACAATCTATGTATATATGTGAAAGTAAAGAATTTTTTGAATTCAATTTGATTGATTGATTTAAATTGCGAACAAACCTTTCGTAAAGATATTTGACATTGAAGATATGTGGAGAAAAAATTACAAGCCGGTTCAATGCTTGAATGTAATAATGATAGTTTATGTAGATCGCTAAATGAATTGATAAAATACACAAGATTAGTTTGATGACAAAATTCCTAGAAATCGATGAGGTAATACAAACTTTATTGCATTTGACAATGCTGACATTTGAACTTGAATCGAACAACATTGATGATTGTTATCATTTTGAACAAGATTTTGTAGACGTTGAAAAATTTTCAAAAAAAATTGATCACAATTTTCCATATCAACTTTTAAATCAAAATTTGCTGTTTTATCAAATAAATGTAAAATTGATGGTACCAGATGTGGATATGAACCTTTAAGATAAATATAATGTTTACGGGTATGTTTTTCCAATAATTCAATCATTATTGGACAATCTTGTGCAGCGTTGAATATCAATATTAAAATGGCAACATCTAAAAAAGAAAAAGAAATGTTTGATTTTTGAATCAAAAAATCGGAAAAAAACTTACATTCAGGATCATCCAAAGGATTTTCAGGTAAACGAAAAAATGGATGTGTTAATAACAGTTCAGAAGTCAACGATAATGTTAAATAAACATTATTTTGTCCAAGTTTACGAAAACAATTCCATATTGATTCACGATCACAAGGATAACGTTTAAGATTTTCTTTTAAACTTGTTATTGTTGAACGTAATGCAACATTTGATGTAAGTCGACAATTCGACAGCATTTGATGTAATGCTTCACGAATTCCAATTGAATAATCTTCCAAAACAGCCAAAATAATATCAATTTGATCCTCACGTAGCGTAATATTTTTGCCGCTAATTTTTGTCAGACATTGTATAGCTTTTAAACGAATTTCTTGTATTTCATCATTAAACATATCGACTAAAAAATCTAATGATTGATTAGCGAATGTTGGATAAATTTGTGCTAATTTACATAATGATTCTAATGATGCCATACGTACATCTAAAGGGTTAAAATTTTTTAATTAAAAGTTAATTTGGTTGATGATCAAACTTACCATAAAATTCATCTTCCAAACCATGAATAAAAGCACCACAAGAACCAATACTCATTAATGTAACTGTTTCAGGATAGATAACTTCAGCTGCTGAATCATCAGTCCATTTTCGGCCACTTGACCATTCACCGGCTTCCAATGTTTCACGGTGTCGTTGATGAGCAGATTTTTTCTTTCGTAAATCAGACATTAACTTTTTATCCAATGTTTGATGTAAAAAATTCAAACTAACATCGGTAAATTTTCCCAATAATTTTGCCGCTTCAACACGAACAGCAATCGAATAATCATTCATCATTGAACAAAGTTTAGCGAAAGCATCATCAACAATACGAATTTGTTCACCATCATCCAAACAAACAGGACAATCTTTATATTGACAACTTAATAGCTGAATCAAACGCATTGCTGTAATTCTTGCCGTTTCATATTCATCATTAAGAAGATCAGTAAATTCACCATATAAACTTATATCTAATTCAATATTTGATTCATGTAAAATCATTAATGAATGAAGGGCGGTTGAACGAACTCTTGGATCATGATAATGACTGAAATCACGTAAAATTTTTATTATCATACCAACTTCAGATTGAAAATTCTGTAATGTTTGTGGATCATTTGTATTTGTAATCAAATTTGACAGTTGAATCAAACATTCATTTATTGTTAGATAATTATTATCAGTTTGTTGTTGTAGACGTTTTTGAATTGAATAAAGAAAATCGGAAAATTCAATGTTTGACATTTTTTTTTTTTTTTTGCTGGCAAAATTCCGAATTCAAAAAATGAACTTTCGAACGTTTTGCGAAACATGCAGCATTCGATTCGATATCGAATCTCACTCGAATGATCACGGTATTTGTGAATGGTGTTCGGTTTATTTTTTATTTTTTTTCGTTTTTGTCAACGTTCATTGTGCTGCTTTGAAAATAATCGACGTGTCGAATAAATTTTTTTTTTCACTCAAAATTTTTTTCAATTTTTTTTCCAATATTTTTTATTCTTTAAAGAATTTTTCGAAAACAAACAAATATGTCAACAGCCAAAGAATTAGTTGATAATATTAATCAAACTGTTGTTGAATTGATTGTTAATCAAACTACAACTGGCGATGATAATAATGGTACAATTTCAAGTCGACCTAATAAAGGTACACCAGAAGGTATGGCAATGGCTTATGGTTCGTTGGTCATAATGGCTTTGATACCAATATTTTATGGTTCATTTAAATCGGTTGGTTATCATCGTGAACAAAGGGTAAGTAGAATTTTGTTTCAGAAAAAAAATTGTCTAAATTTTTTCTAACCAAACCAAAAAAAAAAACATTCGATGAAGGAATCGGGCGAACAAGTTGAAGCAATGTCACGAAGAGAAGCCGCTCTATTCCCGCTATATGCAAGTGGTGCTTTATTTGGTCTTTATTTGTTTTTCAAGGTTTGTTTTTGTTTGCTATCAAACTAACTAACCATTAGATTAATCCTATTTGTTTTCGATTAACAGTATTTTTCCAAAGAACACATCAATCTTTTATTATCCATTTATTTTCTTATTCTTGGTGTTTGTTCATTGGCATCAGTTGTCAGTGATTTTTTGGATAATTTCTTACGATCAAGAAATATAACATTTTTCCGGCTGAATAAATATCATCTATTGTTGACACAAAATTCAGTCGATATGTTGAATATGGAATTTGATTCGAAAGATATTTTTGCTTTAATCGCTTGTTCGGGTGTTGGTATTTGGTATATTATGAAAAAGGTAAGTCGATTCGAATGAATTTTCTGAACATTTTTTCAATAATTTGTTTCCCTCATTAACAGCACTGGATCGCAAACAATTTATTTGGTTTTTCATTTGCAATCAAAGCAATTGAATTTATCAACCTAAATAATGTTGTTACTGGTTGCATTCTTCTATGTGGTCTATTTGTATATGATATTTTTTGGGTATTCGGTACTGATGTTATGGTTACTGTTGCCAAATCATTTGATGCACCAATTAAATTAATATTTCCACAAGATTTTTTGGAAAATGGTTTTAATGGTACACAATTTGCAATGCTTGGTTTAGGTGATATTGTTATACCTGGAATATTCATTGCATTATTATTACGTTTTGATGTTTCATTAAATCGTGGCCGTCATGTTTATTTCTATACAAGTTTTATTGCATATATTTTCGGTTTATTCCTGACAATGGTTGTTATGGTTTATTGGAAACATGCACAACCAGCATTACTTTATCTTGTACCATGTTGTATTATTTTTCCATTAATATCGGCATTATTACAAGGAGATTTTTTCCGTTTAATTCGGTAAGTTTTTCGTGGATGATAATTTCCAAAAAATTTCTCATCAAAAATTTTTTCCCAAAAACAGGTATAGCGAAGATTCATTGAAAGAAACACAGGAAAACGAATCAGACGAATCAACTGAACCTTCAACAACATCCAAAAAAGAAAATTAATTTTTTCCTCCTCTCTTCTCTTCTCTTCTTCCCCTCAACTCTGTTTCTTTCAATTGAATAAGAATAATTAAAAGAAAGGAAAAAAACTTTATCGAAGTATTTCAATTTCATCATCTTTTTTTTCAATTGAATCTAATAATTTGTAATTTGAATTAATAATTATAATAATAATAATAAATCAATGTTTTTCAAATTCGCATATATATTCTCCATTTCGATTTTTTTGATTTTCATTTATCTGGTATACCAAGTTCTTTATTTGTCCATTCGGAACGTTGTGGCCAAATAAATTCACCAACTAAATGACGCCAATCAGTAATGAAATGCCAACCAATCCACCAATACATTATACCGGCCAGAAATTCGGCCATCATTTTTTGTTTTGGTCGAGCGGGATCATAATTTAATTCCCGATAGCCGATACTAAAATCAAAGTAAAAATACCGATATTAAATCAACAAAATTCAACGAAATTTTTTTTCTCAACTTACTAATGTGAAGAATTACGTTGATTTACGTTTCTGATTACTACTGATCTAGAAATGGGTCGAAGAAATTGTCGAAATGGTATCATTTTTTTAAAAATTCAGATTTTGCTAAAAAAACCAAAAAAAAAACAACAAAATCGAATGCCTGAATCATCAGCAGCAGCAGCAGCTAAAGCTGGGTCAAACATCATGTCATTTAATCGAGCGCCATCTATCATCAGAAATTGTAAAAAAAAATTTGAAAAAAAAGTCATAGTCATCAACCTAACCTAACCTCACTCAACTATAACTCACAGTCATGGTCATCAACCTAACCTAACCTCACTTAACTATAAAAAGGTTTATTGATTGAAAATTTTTTTTTTAATTTTTTTTCAAAAAATTTTTTTTACAAAATTGATTTAAAAAATTCATTTGCTATTTTCATTGATAACAACGGTGGTACAGCATTACCAATTTGACGATATTTATCCGCTACTGAACCATATTGGAAAATAAAATTATCGGGAAAACCTTGTGAACGTGCCATTTCACGTATGGAAATTATCCGGTGTTGATCCGGATGAATAACACGACCTTGTGATGTAATCGGATCGGGATTCGTAACGATAGTTGGAAAATGACCTTGCCATGATAATCTACCATATTGTCCTTGCCAATTATTATTTTTATCAGCCGAATTGGCTAAACACCATGGTATTAAAGTTTTGGTTTGTTTTGATCGTCGGTGATGGTTATCATAACGTAATTTTTCAATAATTTTACCATCGGATAATCGAATTCGAATGTTAGGAAGATCTCTCCAATCGGCAGAAATTTCCCTGGGAATTCTTCGTATACGTTCGATATTTAATTCACTCAATTTTTTACAATAATGATCCCTAACTGAATTTTGTTGTTGTTGATTTTTTCTCATTTCACGTTGATATGAACATTGTGGTTCACATTTATATTCACGAATCATATCGACGAAATAATCATCATCATTCAGCGTTGGTAAATCACCGATTGCATCATCGATTGTAATCGTTCGATAGGCTCCTCGATGGCCATCGAATGGATCAAATTTTTCACCGCCGTTTATTTTGAAAATCATTGATTTGGAATCATTGAAATGATTGGTAGGCTTTGGGAATTTGGGTAATTTACCTTGATCATATCGTGCACCAATAATAAAAAGTCTTCGTCGTTGTTGTGGCAGGCCATAACAACCAGCTTGTGAAATTATTACACGAATTTGATAACCAATTTGTATGAGAAATGAACAGAATATTTTAAAAATTAATGATTTTCCATACAGAATCATATTGTAAACATTTTCAAATACGAAATATTTTGGACGATAAAATTCCAAGAAATTTAGATAACAAACCAATAATGAACGTTTAAATAATGAATATTCAGTTTGTGAAAATCGATTCATTTCGGAAAAACCTTGACATGGTGGACCACCGATGATAATATCAATATTTTCGGGTAAACTTTCCGAAAGGAATTCTTCTTCTTGATTCGCTTTGTTGATAAGAAAATTTAAAATTAAATTAGCATCAACATTGAACACAGTGGAATCAACGAAATTACATTTAAATGTTTGAGCGGTTTGTTTATCTTTTTCAATTGAAAATAATTTTTGAGCAAATGGCTCGAATCCATATGATAAACCACCACAACCGGAAAATAAATCTAAAATTTGAAATTTTCCCAAAAATTTCGAATGATCATTTGAAGGAAAATTTTCCGGAAATTTTAATTCATTCGAATTTTCGAATGATAATATTCGATTATCGATATGATCATATTGTTGATTAAAATAGAAAAATTCATCTTGATTTACCATGTTGGTGGTGGTGACGATATTATCTTTAGCAAAAATTACATGACATTTTCGATGAATGGCTGATGTTTCGACGATCATTGTTCGATTTGACCAAAATAGAAGATTATAATCACATTTTTGATAATCTTTAAATTTTTTGAAAATATTTTCCGGTCGATAAAATATTTTCAGTTTTAATCGGTTACCACTCGAATCTTTTTCGTTTGGAATAATTTCTTCAACATATCCTACATTGAAACCGGATAATATTGAATCATCATTTGGATTTGGAACTTCCAACGAATCGGTTCGACATTTTTTTCGCCATTTTTCCGGATATAATTTTCGATCAAATTTTTCTTCATTCGTATGGCTGCTGTTGCTGATATTATCATCAAAATATCTGTATAAAGGCAATTCTAAATCACGACAATCGTTTCGTTGTAAAAGAACACAATCACCAACCGAATAAGATGTTGTTTCATCAAAAGTATCGATTTTTTCACAACAACAACCAAAACAATCAATTGACGATTTGGTAACGAGCGATTCGAATGTACAACGTTTTTGATCATAAATCTGATGACAACTAAATTCATTCGGTGTTTCGGATGAATTTGTTTCCGGAAAAGTTTGACAAAATTTAACAACAATCGTTTCAAATGAAAAAGTCAAATGAATATCTTGACAATTTTTAGTGGCAAATAAAATATTTTTCGATATTGTTTCACCAAGAATAGTATCCTGGCCCAATAAATAATTATTCAGATGAACTAAAGATTTGGAATCCTGATATTTTCGAATTATACGTCCATATTGATAATGATTGTCAATCGGGTAACGAATAAACGTGCCGATCTCGATATTCGATGATAAAAACTGCTTGCAGCTGGAAACCATCGAATCTTTTTGCCCGAAACGATAACAAATTATATTTTGAAATATTCCATCCAAAATTCTCACAGAATTTTTCGTATTAACATTATTCAAAATGGTTGTTTGATCAGGGAAATTTTGTATTTTTTGATTCAACGATAACATTGGTGGTAAATCTTTGGATAAAATATTCGATTTGGCTATTTCATTTAAAATTTTGAATATTCGAGTATCACTAATACACAATTCATCTGAATCACGACTAGAATCATAACTATGAATCTGTTGGATAATGAAATTAATTCCGGTCATTAATAATGATGATGATTGATCGGGTAATTTTGATAATAATTCATCAAGGTTAGTATCGGGATTTTCTTGTAAAATTTCAATAATTTTTTTTGTTAACATCATTTTTGTATTTAATTCTTTAAATAATTCTTTATAGATATTATGCGGTGGTGATTTTAACAGATAACATGCATATTGACTTTCAATTCCAATCAATAATGAATCTGAACCATCAAATCCAGAAAACCACCATTCATTTAATGGACCAATTTTTTTGACAATCATCGAAGAATCATCTTGGTCATCTTGATCATCATCGTTGGAGCATATCGTTTTCAAACGACCACAAACATAAATTTGATCACCATTTTCCAATGATGAATGTTCTAATGAACATAAACCATTTTGATCATGAATTATAAACTCAGTGATTGACAAATTTAAATCATCTAGATTTGATCCTTCTGCAGGTTGAAATCGTTGATCAGTTAATGCTATTAATTCTTCTACAACGTCTTCTTCTCCGGTTGATGACGATTGTTCACAATATAAACATTGAAATTCAGACGATATTTGAATTTTTCGTTTTGCCATTATATGTGTGTGCCGATTGAATCAAAAAATCAGAAACAAACAGAAGCAGAAAATCCATTGTTATTTTACTGAACACATTTAGCATCCGTTGATGAAACAAGACAAGCCTTGCCTTTAATTGTTACTAAGGCGGGTTTCTGGACCACAACAGCAGCAGCAACAGTGTATTTGACATTGAAACTTTTTTTTAATTGTTTCGCGCTCGTTTAACAAAAAAAAAATCAAAAAATGTTTAGACAATGAAAATGATTCAAATTGTTACTTGAATCGTATAAACATTTGATATTAGGGCGTTGATAGTGAACATATGTAGATTTCTGTGTTAAAGAATCGGCAAATTAAAAACCTAAGCCTTTTTTTTCAAAAAATAATAATGAATTTCAAATGACACCAATCGATATTTATTTGCTAAATCATCATCATCATCGTCATCAATTCATCAATTCAAATGACCAACAATTCCTTTTTGGCCGTAATTTCAGCTGAAATTTTCCAATGAAAATTGAAAATGTTCAAACTTAGTTCAACACAAAAACATATTCTTCACTGCTTATTACTGTTTTCCATCATTATTTATTTTGAAATACAAAGTGGTGCATTAAAATTATGGTACAACGATGATGATATTGGTGGTGAATTTGATCCATTCATTCGATATGGACGATATTTAGCATGGTTTCTTTATATATTTCGCCTGTTAACATTACTGCCATTACCGCAAGTATTATTTAATTTTTTCGGTCTAATTTGTTTCAATGCTTTTCCGGATGAACCACGTTTGGAAAAAATTCCATTAATAATGCCATTTATTTGTATACGAACTGTAACACGTGGTGATTATCCAGAATTGGTTAATAAAAATGTTGAACGAAATCTTAATCTTTGTTTGGATAAAGGTTTGGAAAATTTTATTATTGAAATTGTTTCGGATAAATTGTTTGATGTGCCTAAAAATCCCCGAATACGTTTGACTGTTGTTCCATCCGACTATCAAACGAAATCTGGTGCTTTATTCAAAGTAAGCTAATGATTTTTTTTCTCTCACTAAATAACCACTTTCTCTAATTCAATGTTATCATTAACCCTTTTAGGCACGTGCCTTACAATATTGTCTTGAAGATAATGTCAATCGTTTGAATGATAATGATTGGATTGTACATTTAGATGAAGAAACATTATTAACATCAGGTTCAATAGCCGGTATTGTTCAATTTGTTTGTGATGGTAAATATCAATTCGGACAAGGTTTAATAACATATGCAAATGAAGAGGTGGTAAATTGGCTGACCACACTGTCGGATGCATTTCGTGTTGCTGAAGATATGGGAAAATTACGGTTTCAATTTTATATATTTCATAAACCAATTTTCAGTTGGAAAGGTAAGGGTTAACATTTTTTTTTTGATTGATTTTTGATTTTAATCAATGTTTTTTTTCCTATTCAAAATCCAGGTTCCTATGTTGTAACATTATGTCGTGCTGAACGTGATGTTAGCTTTGATAATGGACCTGATGGTTCAATAGCTGAAGATTGTTATTTTTCAATGATTGCCTTTAAAAAAGGTTATACATTTAATTTTATTGAAGGTGAAATGTGGGAAAAATCACCATTTACATTAATGGATTGTTTACAACAACGTAAACGTTGGCTGCAAGGAATATTTTTAGTTGTTCATTCACCAAATATACCATTGAAGATAAAATTCTTCCTAACAATGTCATTATATGCATGGGCAACATTACCATTATCGTTGGCTAATCTAGTATTTGCCTTAGTTTATCCATTACCAGCAAGTGATTGGTGTAATTTTATATCAACATTTGTTGGTGCATTAACATTTTATCTGTATATTTTTGGTGTATTTAAATCATTTAAAATTGAAAAAATTGGTTATTGTAAATATTCGGTAATAATGGCTGCTGCATTTTTAACAATACCATTGAAAGCATTAATTGAAATTATAGCCGTTATATGGGGATTATTAACAAATAAACATCGATTTTTTGTTGTACAAAAACAAATCCAATCACCACTGAAAGATTCATCATCATCAACAAAAGAATTTATCAATGGAAAACTTGTTGAACAAGTTTAAAATGTCAGAATTTAGTCAATTTGAAATTTCGAAAATCAAAAATTGTTACCTGTAATTTTATTTATAAAATATTAATTATATAAAATTTGTTTTAGGCATTTTTATTTCAAAATTTTTTTTAATTATTTTATTAAATTATATTTGATGATGATAAAGAAGAAGATAATTAATTTAAAACGATAAAACATTTTTTTTATACAAATAGTTTGAAAATGTTGAAATTTATAATATTTTTTTTTTAAATTATAATTTAAATTATTATTTTCATTATTTTATAAATTTGAAAAAAAAGATTAGAATTAATTAATTATAATTATAATTAAAATTAAATGTATAATGTGTGTGTATTTTTGCAGTGTGCACGTTTACACCAATATTTTGCAAAAAAAAAAGTCAAACGAGAAAAAAAAGCGGGAAATATGAAATTATCATCATCATCAGCCGTTATGGTGGATAAGTACAAAATAATAACATTTTTCTTTCTTCAATATATCATTTGTAATTGAATTGTGTTTATAGGCCAATTATATTGTATTTTTGGGCAGGTAAATCAGATCAATAGGACTAAAATTATTATTATTATTTACAAAAAAAAATGACGATTATTAAATGATGATGATTTGAAAAAAAAACATGGTTGTTGATGATCAAGGAGTTCATTAGAAAAATTCACATATGATAAATAAAAAGTAATTTTTCCAAATATTTATATAAGTTATACAAAGCATAATAAGCAAATTGAGAAAGTGTTTTAGGTCAGAATTTTTTTTGGAAAACGAAATATTAATAATAAAACAAATTCATTTGAATGATAAATCATCATCATCAACAGCATCATTGTATCTATGTAGATGATGATTGATTGATTGATGGATGTAGACAGTCCATCGGTCGGAAGAATGAATGAATGAATGAAAAAACGAGGAATATTTTCTTTTTAAAATGAGAAAAAAAATGAATGAATGAATGTTGGTTATATCTGTACAGAAGATGATAAAATGATGATGATGATGATGAAATCTTGAAAAAAAATTAATGATGATAATGATGAGGATCGTTTTGTTTCGAATAAAATCAGCCATGATTTGACTTTGTTTCAAAAAAAAGTGATAAATGCACATATTATATACATTTTTGGATCAGCCAAGATCAAGTTGATAAAATTATTATTATTATTATAGGGGTTTCACACTAGCAGCAATGTGAATGAAATATTTATC